CAGCCCCTCACCTTTCCTCCAGGGCCTCCTGGACCGACTGCAGCAGGCTCCTGGACAGGCAGGCGAAGGGGTCAGAGGTCAGCCTTTTCTGCTGCCCCCAACCCCTCCCCTGCGCCTTCCCTCTCCCTCACTCACCCACTCAGCTCATCCTTTCCCAGCAGCGTCCACTCCTCCTCCCACTGTGGGGAAGGCAAGTCAGAAAGACCAGGAGAGAGGCAGAGAGACACTGTGAGAGGCAATCAAGAGATTGTGGGAGACAGAGAGGACAGACAGACAGATGGAAAATGAAATGGTAGCAGACAAGAGATCTGTAAGAGAAAGAGAGACAATGAGAAGCAGAGAGATTGAGAAAAACAGGGACAGAGAAACAAAGAGTGAGAGAGAATGAGACTGAGATGGTGGGAGCGAAGAGAGATGCTGATGAGAGACGGTGAGAGAGCAGGGGAACAGTGAGTCAGACAATCAGGGGCGGACGCGGAGACTGAGGCAGAGAGAAACACGTTGAAGGCGGGGGGCTCAGGCGTGTGACAGCCCACTTTTTAGAAAGGCGGGGTCACCCTGCCACCTTCCAGCCAGCTATCCAAAAGAACTTGGCCCAGGAGGGAGCCGCCAGCCTGCCGTGTCCCTGGGAGGGACAGGCCTGCTGGGAGCCCTCCCAGGCCTGAGGGCCAGGCGGTCCCCTCTGCAAGGCTCTGCGACTTCAGACGCTGACCTCCAGCAGCCCCCAGCCCACGCTGCACGCCACCCCCCGCCCTCAGCCAGCCCCTCACCGGCTCATTGAGAGGGTCCGTTTCCTTCCTGCGTGGGGCGCCAAATTTCACCTGGTGAACTGGGGGGCCCAGATACAGCGGTTGGGGGCCAGAGTCTTAGGACTGACCCCCACACTCACACCAAAGCCACACACACAACCCCCGCACCAAATGCACACGCCTCGCCCTCCCACCCCCACACACTCAGCCCCCACCAGCACATGCACACACATAGCCCCCAATCCACGCAACACTGCCCCCGAAATCCACACCCCCACACTAAATCCACACACACGGCCACACACCAAATCCGCACACACGGCCCCACACCAAATCCACACACACGGCCCCACACCAAATCCACACACGGCCTTACACCAAATCCACACACACGGCCCCACACCAAATCCACACATGGCCCGAGCCAACTCACACTGGATCTCCGAGGGGGTCCTCTCGGCCGGGCCGTGCTGCCCCCGGGAGTGAATGGTGTCTGGAAACATGTCATAAGTCTAGGAAAGAACACAGGGGACCCACACCCAGCGCTTGCTTCACGCAGGCATCCTTTGAGGTGCTTTATTTATACACGTGGATGTGTTTTGTGTTCACAATCAACCCTCTGAAATTATCGTGAGATTAAATGGCACCCTCATTTCACAGCTGAGAAAACCAGCAGAAAGGCAAGTAACTGGCTGAAGGTCACACAGCGAGCGGAAGATGGCTGAGCCAGGGTCATGGTCAGCCTGGGCCAACGGCAGGAGCCTATCACGGGGGTACTGGGAGGCAAGAAGATCCCGAAGGGTGGGCTCACCTGCAGGCAAGCTGCCTGGGCTGGAAATAGACAAGTTAAAGGGACCTTGACCTACACACCTCTGCGCTCCTTACAGCAGGCCAGGCCAAGATCCGTTTCCCCAGCTCCCCTCCCTTACCTCCAGGTCACAATCTTCCGGGGAGGGGGTTTCCAGGTGGGGGTCATTGGCCTTGTCCAACAGCTGTGTGAGCAGAGCCCGAGGGAGCTGCTGGGTTGTGAATGGGTGCTGGAGGATCGAGGGGCGCACAGGTTGGTCCCTGGCCACTGCTCCCCAGCACCAAGCCCTCCCCCCCAGCCCCTGCCTCCCACCTGCAGAAGTTTCTCTGCCGTTGGCCTCTTCTTGGGGTTCTTGGTCAAGGCCAGCTTGAGGAAGTGGTGGAAATTCTGGGTCCTAGTAGGCACAAGAGCCCCCCACCCCAGACCCAGGTTAGCCCTCAGGAGGGCATCCTGCCAGCTGCCACCTGCCACCACTGCAGAGGCCCACCCAGGAAGGAGCCAGTCTGGGGCCGAGGGCAGCTGGCTGGAGCAATACCGCTGTTGCGACATGGCAGCTCGTCCGTCATCACCATCTGCCCTTCTCCCCCGTCCACACCAGGTCCCTCCCGCAGATGAGCTGTGGGGACCCAGAGAGGGGAGGGCTCCTCCACCCCCAAGGGACCTGGCTGCAAGGGGGCCCCAGCAGGGGGACGTGGGCGCCCACCAGCGAGTCTTGTCTCTCAGCTTGGGTGGCTGGAAGCTGCTCTTGGACATGAGCATCAAGGCCCTGTGGAGAGCACAAGGTCAGGGGTCAAGGGTCAGTAGGACTCTTGGGGTCAGGCGAGGGGCAAGTGTTCAGCTGACCTCATGGGGTGCAGGTGGAACAGAGGGGGCTGCAGCTCGCCCAGCTCGATGGCAGTGATGCCCAGGGCCCAGACGTCACACAGCTCATTGTAGCCACCTTTGCGCTCCACGGCAGCCACCTCTGGGGCCATCCTGGAGGCAGGGTCACAGACGAGATGGCCAGGTACCCCACCTGTGGCCCCGCCCCCCAGCCCGAGGCGCAGCCTCACCAGTATGGAGTCCCGATGAAAGACCTCCTCTTAGCCACAGACGCCGTCAGCTCGCCTGACACCCCAAAGTCAGCTGCAGGGACAAAGAGCTGCCCTCACCCGCCCTCGGGCTGCTCACCCACCCACCTCTAGGGCGCAGGGTGCAGCCGGCAGGGCTCAGACAGCAGGCTGCCTAGGCTGGGTCACAACCGCCACGGGGCCCAGGCAGGGCCAGGCCCCCCTCCCGGGAGAGGTCAACCACCTTCTCTCCCTGACCAAGCGCCTGGTCCCATGTTGGACCAATCACATCCAACCTCTAACAGGAAGGGAGGACTGTTCACTTTCTAAACGGGGAAACTGAGACTCAAGCAGTAAAGTGACTTGCCCACGGACACCCAGCACCTGAGTGCAGGCCCTGCCTCCGGGAACTTCCAGGGAACCCTCACCCTGATTGTGTCCCCGGGGTACTGACCCAGCTTGACATCTCCCTGGAGGGTGAGGAGAAGGTTGGCTCCCTGTGGGAACGGAGGAGAGAGGTCCCGTCTGGCGCCCCTGAGCACCTCCTCTGTCCTCCCAGCATGCCCTCGGCCAGACCCCTACCTTGATGTCTCTGTGGATCTTGCCCTGCGAATGCAAGTGGTGCAGCCCCTGGGGACAGAGAGGAGCCCCTGAGAGCAGCTCCCAGCACCATCCCCTCCCCTGAGCCCCCTCCCAGGACTGGGGCCCCCCACCCACGCGGCTTCCTCCTCCCCTCTCCCCAAACAGGAAGTGACTGAGCCAAGAGGGAAATGGGCTGCTTCCGGCAAAAGGGCTGGGGCCCTTTCCCCCCAGGACCCACCGCCCCTCAAGCCAGCCCCCCCTCCTCCCCCACACACTGGCCAGCTGGGCTCCCTGCCCACAGCTCCCCGGGATTGGGGTGTGAGCAGCCTTATGGGCCCAGCTACCTTCAGTGCCTCTCGGCAGACATAGGCAATCTGTCGTTCCTCCAGGGGCCCGGTGGCTGAAATGGAAGGGGTGAGAGCTGGCACGGGGGTCTGGGGGAGATGCTGAGGCCATTCTGTGTGGGGGAAGCAGCAGGCACTGCTAGGCAAAAGGGGTGTTGGCCAATCCTTTCCCAGCATAGTCTAGGATACAGAGCCCAGAGAAGCACAACATTTCTCTCAAGGTCACACAGCCAGTGAGAAGTGGAGAAGGGCCCAAGTCCAGAGCCCCAGCTCTCCCCTCGTGCCCCATGTTGGGGTGGGGGATGGGAAGAAGGCTATGGCCCTCACCGTGGTAAATCTCCTGCAGGGACCCCCCACCGCAGAACTCCATGCAGATCCACAAGCGGTCATTCCTGGAGGGACACAGAGCTGGGGTGGGCACCTGGCAGGGCCCCACGGGGGCTGCCTGAAGGTGGGCAGGCGGTAAAGCAGCCTCACCTGAGGTAGCTGCCAATGTAGGCCACCACGTTGGGGTGCCGACACTCACGCAGGATGGTGATTTCCTGCTGGAGGGAGCTGATGTCGTCCCCTGGGGAGCACAGGGCATCATGGAGGGGCCGCATAGGGGTCGTCCTAACTCAGTGCCCCCATCTGCAAAATGGGCACAGAGCGCCTCCTCCCTCCATGCCGGCCGGGTGCCAGGCGACAGTACCTCCGGGGCCTGCCTCTCGGGGGTCTCGGAAACGTCAACTCGCCGCCCCGCACACCGCGCCCGCGCGGCGCTCTGCCCGCCCTGCAGCGCAGAGGCCCCGGGCCCGGGCCCTCACCTGGGTCCAGCTTGACTATCTTGACCGCGGCCAGTTCGGACGTGACCGTGTCGCGGGCCTGCAGGGCGGAGGGGGAGAGGGCTGAGGCGGGGCGGGGCGGGGAGCTGGAGCCCGCCGCAGGGCGCCGAGCGGGCACCCTCCGCCGCTCCCCCGCCCGGCCCGGCGCACCTTGTAGACGTCGCCATAGGTCCCGGCCCCCACGCGCTGCAGCAGCTCGAAGCGGTCCCGCGGGTCCTGCAGCGACACGTCCCGCAGCAGCGCCATGGGCCCGGCGCCGGGCGGGCCGGCGGGCGGGCGGGCGCGAGCTGCGGAGCCGCGGAGCCGCGGAGCCGCGGAGCCGGCGCGGGGCGGCGCGGGCGGGGCGGGGCGGGCCCGCCGGTGGCTCGGAGGCCGCGGGGCGGGCCGGGCCGGGGCGGGGCCAGGCGGGATGCCCCGCCGCCCGGCCGTGAGGAGGCGCCCGCGGGACGGGCCCGCGGCGCCCAGGGGAAGCCCCGAGGCCGGGCGGGGCAGACGGCGCCGAGGCCTTTCCGCCAGCCGCCCGGTGCCCGCGCGCTACAGGTGGGGAGCCCGAGGCCAGAGGGCCAGAAGGCAGAGGAAAGGGGGGCGCTCGACCCCGCCCCGCCCCGCCCCCCCAACTTCCCAGATCAAACACGGACAAGTACTTTTTTTTTTTCTACAAAATGTATTCATCTTCCTTGAAACTGAAAAATAAATCTATGTACAAAACAGGAAGCGATCAGGCTCCCCTCACCCACTCGCAAACCCCTGCAGATTTCCTCCCGGGTCCCCCGAGACGGGCTGGACCTCCGGGAGGTTCCCAGAGGGTCGGCAAAGAGGTCGCTCTGATCTGGGGCCAGTTTGGTCAGGAAGGGGGCGGGCTCAGAGGTCACACAGGCCAGGGGCGGAGCTTCGTGCCCCGGGCTCGGGGGAGAGGAGGCTAGGATTTCCAAATTCTGGAAGCGTTCCTTAAATTCTTGCGGGTAGGGTGCTTGGAATCCCAGGGATGAAATTCTGAAGAGCGAAAATGTACTCCTGGGGGCTGAGCGGGGGCGGGGGGGCTTCCCGGACCAGGGGTGAGAGCAACCCTGAGCAGCACTGGCCAGGCCGCCGGGTAGAGCGGTTCTGAGCTGAGCCTGATTCCCGTGGTTGGACCTTTAAAGACTGGTGATGGGGCCCGGGGTGAGGTTCCCATTGGCCGGCTGGGATGCTGGGGGATGGGACGTATATTTCGATGACGGGGCAGAGCCCTAGGTCTCCCGGACCCGCAGCCCCGCAGCCCCGCAGCCTCGGTTCCGGGTGGGGTTGGGGCCTCCTGGGCCCGGGCAGGGGGCGGAGCCTGGGCTCGCGGGAGCTGGGGCGGAGCCTCCACCCCGGTTGGGGGCGGGCTCCCCGTGGGCCGATAGGGAGTCCGGGGTAGTTCAGAGGCCCTTGCGCTGCCGTTTGAGGAAGGAAAGCGTGTAGTCGCTAGGTGTAGACACCTTCTGCTTCTTCATCTGCACTTGCGATTGCGCCGTCAGCTGCAGCTTGATGGCGCTCGAGTTGATCTTGGTGGCCACCAGCAGCTCCTTCATGCCCTTCATCTTCTCGCTCTGGAAAGTGAGCACCGGCCCCTCCGGTGGCGGCGACGCGGCGGGCGTTGGCGCCGGGACGGCGCTGCCGCCTTCGGGGCCGCGGGTAGTGCCTGGGACGGTCCCTGGGGGCTTCCGGGGGGGGCCGGGCACCGCGCCCTGGCCCGCGCCCGGGCCCTTGTCCAGCGCCGGCTTCTTAGGCGGCGGCGGCTCCTCGGGCTTGGACTCCCGCCGCGGACCCCGCCGCCGGCCTTCCCGGGCTTCCTCGCCCCACGGCTCCTCCGCCTCGGCCGTCTCGGCCTCGCGGCTCACGATGCGCACCTTCTGCCGCACCTGGGCCGGAGGGGGAGGGCAGGCCGAGGAAGAGGTTTCAGGCCAGCGGCTGGAAGCCCAGGACCCGGCCTCGGCCAGACTGTCGAGGTGCCCGTCTCATCTGCACCCAAAGGGGATGAGCAGATGCCCTTCAGGGCTACAAAGGTCCCGACCCTTCTACAGCTGCTGTCACTCCCTGTCCTCCCGGCCACCCTGCGCAGCTGCCCCTCACCTGTCCCTCAAAACGGCCTAGGGACTGCACAAGGAAGGTGGCCCAGCCCACATGCAGCACGGGCGTGGGGCTGCCCTCTTCCCATTTGCAGATGCCGTCGTAGAATCGAAGCAGGTGGGCGAAGCACTCTGGGTCCTGGAGGGCAGACCCCTGGCTCTGCGTGCCCTGGGCAAGGGGGAGAGGAAGGCACAAGTCAGACGCCCTTCTCACTCTCATCAGAGGGCACAGGCCAGGCCCCTCAGCTAGGCAGTGAGCCCTGGCTCTGGAAGAGGTGAGCATGGGAGAAGAGAATTCGCAAAACCTCCTTCCTTTTATAAAACGAGCCCTTAGCCAGCACATGGCAGAAGGATGGAACCATCCCTTACCCCCATCCCACCCCTTCGACCCACTGAGGGGCCCTGGCCCTGAAAGAGATGGGCTTCCACCCATGAGCCTGAAGGCACATGGGTAGAGACCCCTAAAATACCCTCGGCTCCCTCCAACCCCGGCCCAGGACTGTGGCTACTGCAGGAGAGAATACAGCTCTCGCGCTGGGCCACCTCCTTCAGGCAGTCCCTCGGCCTGTGCGGCTGTGACTGGGAGCCCCGCTCAGCCGGAGGGTGCACACAGGCTGGGGCTGCGGCCCTTCACCTGGGTCTGCTCCCCCGGCCGCTCCTCGCCGGCCTCCAGCAGGCTGGCCGCCTCCTTCAGCAGGTTGGGAATGACATCGTTGGCCACTTCAAAGAACTCCTTGTAGATCTCCTCATCTTCCCGGCAGTAGTTGTAGCTGTGAGAGCAGGAGGGCACTGTGGGGTCTCAGCCACGGGGGTAACCCCTGGGACCTGGTGGGGGATGACGCCCAGGTTTCTTTTCCTGGGTCATCCAGGGACGGGGTGAGTGGTTGGGGTCCTCACTCTGAAATGATGGTCTCTGTGTCAGCCCAGAGCAAAAGTGAGGAGGGGGCATGGGGCTGGGGGTGCAGGTTCCACTGCTGGATGGTGGCTGGAAATGAGAGGGGGAGGGGAGAGGCATGAGGCCCTCATCAGGGGTCCCTACCACCTGGGCTGGTGGCCTGGACTGCCCAGGGACTGGATGGAGGGGCCAGGCTGCAGTCCTGGATGAGGGTGGTTGGAAATTGGGGGGAAGGGGAAGGGCGGGCGGGCCGAGGCCCCCGTGGGGGCATCCTCACTCCTGGATGACAGTGGCCGTGTCGGCCCAAGCCTGCAGGGCTTCGCGCACATTGCGGTTGCGACAGTGGTAGCCAGCCAGGTACATGTAGGGGTAGATGTGCTCATCCCGGTAGTAGGTCTTGGCTGAGGCAATGCCCTGGGGACAGAGCAGACGAGGCAATAGGAGGATCACACCACCTCCCGCCCCTTCCACCTCTCCACCAGGGGTTCCCCCCTGGGTCTGCAGGACTGCTTGCTGAGGCCGGGGTCAGACCGCAGGGGTGGAGGCCCCCACGGCCTAGAAAAGGGCAGGGGCCTGTCCTCCAAGCTCAGGGCATGTCTCTTTCTCAGGCTTTCCCAGGCACTCCTACACAAACACCAAAGGCTTCCAAGCCCAGCCCCATGTCCCTCCTACCCCTGACCCCCACTGAGTTAACACCCTCTCCTCAGTACTCCCCCCACAGGTGACCTCTGTTATACTCCAGGAAGGACAAGAGGCAGCAGGAAAAGCAGGGCTGAGGGGACAAATCCAGGCCCCACCACTCCCAGGCTGGGGTCCCCAGAACCCTCCTCAGACAGCCATGACTGCACTGAACACGCACGTGGCAAACTCAGAATGGGAACTGGGTGAGGGATACCCCCATTACACACAAAGTTCTTCTCTTCTCACCTGCCCCTCCCAGTCCCCAGGTAGAAGGGGACCCCAGCCCCTGTTGGGCCTCCCTTCTGTACCCTCCTGAGATGTCCCCACCTTGTGGTAGAGCGTGAGTGGGTCTGGCCGGCCAGGGGTTGGCTCCAGCTCCTCCAGATCTGCCAGGTTCCCCAGCGCCATGGGGTACCTGGGAAAGGATCATGAGTCCAGGCTGTCCCCCGGCCCCCCAGCCCCCTGAGGCCCAGCCTGGCCACTTCCCCCTACTCACCTTTCCAGATGTCCCAGGTCATAGAGCAGCCAGAGCAGCTTCTAGGGGCCGAAGGAGAGAGGTGTGAGCCGGGTTGGGGGGGGGGGGACAGGGTCCTCAGTCTACTAGGCAGAGGTGGCACATCCACCAGCAGGGACGTCCCACCAGGTAGGAAGGGCCAGAATTCAGGAACCAGCCCCTTATTGCAGTCAAAGCCCTTTCACGTTTCAATTCCACTCTCCCAAGAGCCCTGGGAAAGGCCGGGCCAGGATTAGCTCTTGTTGCACAAGGGGAAGTTGAAGCTCGGGGAGGGCACATGACCCTGCCCGGGGTGCCATGGGCATGCCTCACCTGCTGCAGCTGCAGCAGCTCCAGAGAATCCGTGTGCAGGTCAATGGAAGGGTTGATGGCGCACACCATGAACGCCACCTCCATCTTGCGGTCACAGCGCATGTACGATCCTTTCAGGTACAGCCAGCTCTTGGGGAAGAACAAGATGAGACGTCTCAGGACGGCCACCTGAGCCTGCTCCAGGGAGTGACAGCCAGGAAAGGGGCCCTTCCGCGTCCCCTTCCTGACATACATGGGTGGTGATGGGAACAGGGGAGTGTGGCTCAAGAATGCAGAGCTCCTTGAGTGGCTTGGGTGGAGAGTGTGAAAGGGACAAGTTGGGGTGGGGGGACAATACCCGCTCAGCCACACCCGCGTTGACAGTCTGGCCCCTGCGGTCCTCATTGCCCTTGCCATGCCAAGTGACCTCAGCTGTCTGCTCTCCATTGGGCCCAAACACTACCCAGGCGTGGTCCTCAGACAGGGCCAGGTGGACATCCCGGAGACCCAGAGCCTGGCAGGCCCCCACCACAGCAAAGGCCACACCAGAGCTGTCCAGTTTGGTGCCTGTGGAAGGAGAGCTAATTAAAGAGGGTCCTCTGGGCTCCGGCCTAGGGGAAGGGGCCAGGTAGTGAGGGGCTATACTCCCTCCCACCCTCAGCTCCAAACCTCAGACACTGCCACCCTTCATCCCTCCATCCCTTTCCTCCTACGTGTTGAAAGCCTCTCCTTTGCCCTTTACATCCTTTATCCTCAACAAGAGACCTTCTGGGATCTTCCATAGCTCCACCCAGCCTTTGACCCTGTCCCTTTTCTTTCTCTACAACCATATTACACATTTCTGTTAATTTATGGATTTCCTCATTTTATTGCACCTATTAGGTTATAACACAGATAGCAAAAACAGGACACTGGCCAACGCTCTTTTTTCTCACACCCACTGGCAGATACTCCTCAATTTATCTCTGTACTCTTCCTGCTGAGGTCAGAAACAGCCTCAGTTTCCTTCTCAATATGGCACCCCGAGACCTGACTGCCAGTCAACTGGGCTTAAAGCAAAGAAGAAAGCTCTTTGCCGGCCCCAAGGCTTAAGCTTCTTGAGATGAAGCCTCTGGCCTGTTCATTTTCAAAACATTTTCAGACGTATTTCATTTAACTGTCTCAAATGTAGCCCAATTTGGGTCCTCACTCCCCAACTCTGCTGTCGCCCTCTGTGCCTCATGCTGGGCCGCAGGACTCCTGTAGCTGCTCCATGGCAGGGATGGGGGTTCTGAGGGGGCATACGGTGGCCTAATGGGTTTCGAGCCAAGTGACTGGGGTCCAGTGCCAGCTCTGCCATTCTGTGTGACTTTGGCACATCACTTCCCCTCTCTGGGCTTCAGTTTCGTAGCTGCAAAGCGGAGAATCACACTTGCCCCGCCTCGTGAGGCTTACAGGTCTCCAAAGGGCTCTAGAAACCCCATAGTGTTGGGAAGAGGTGGGCCACGGTTACCAGGTGAGACAGGATTCTCGCCCCTTGCCACCTGTCGGGCTCCAACCTGTGATGAAGCTGAAGAGGGATTGGATGTGCGCCCGATCCTTGAAGTAGGAACGGCTGAGGCTGTTCCAGATGACATCCGAGACCTTCTTGACCAGCTCGCGGCTGGAGACGCCCCCCTCTCGAGGGTAGAGAGACAGGTCGACGGCGCCGCGGATCTGGGCGGTGAAGCGGGCATAGAGCGCGGCGATGATGGAGAGGTCGGCCACGGGGAAGTAGGTGAGGCCACCAGGAGGGTCGGGCGCGGGACTGGGCTGGAAGGTGAGCTCGGGCACGTTGGTAGGGATGACGCGGTTGACAGCGAGGAAGTGCTCCACGAAGCCCAGGACCAAGGAGAGGAGCACCAGGTCCGGTTCCTCTCGGCCCAGCTCGGCAGCGAACAGGCGCACCACGTCGTCGATGGAGCGCAGCGGGAACAGCGTCTTCTGGGCGGCCTTCAGCCCCATGGCGGCGGGCCTCGGCCTGCGGGCGAGCCGGGGGAGGGAGGGTCGGGCGGGCGCGGCGGGGAGCCCCCTCCCAGCCTCGGCTAAGGTTCCACCCCCAACACACCGTGCCCTGCTTCCCCGCCCCCTTCACCCTGCGCTCGTCCGTTCCCCCTCTTTCGTCGGAGGGACCCCTCAGCCTAGGCTGTAGGGCCTCCTCGCCCCCCACAACCCCAGGAGCCCCGGCTCTGATGGGGGTGCGCCCCTAGGACTCCGCTGAGGACCCCCAATGGCAGCCCCGCCCCCTCTCTGCAACCATACCCCAGGCCCCTAGAGTCGGTCGGGCAGGCGCTCCTACGCCAAGCCCCCCAAATCCCAAGGAGAGTCCTGGCCTGGGTCCCCCGCGCCCACCTCCGCGCTTACATCCCACACAAGGCACCGCGGCGCCCGCCGCCTGGAGCCTGCTGGGAAACGGAGTTCCGCCCCTCCGGCAGCACTGCCTGCCGGGAAGTGGAGTTCCGGGCCCTCTCCTGCCCCCGCAGATCTTGAAATGGTGGCCTGGCCGGCCAGTCCGTGGTGGCTTATGGGAGTGGTAGTCACGAGGCTCTGGGCGCCCCAGTGGTAGGTGAGGCGTGAAGGCAGCGCCACCTTCCTGAGGTCGTCAGTGATTGGTCCTGCCGTTTCACGCAGACCAGGTAGGCAGAGGGACCGCAGTGCATTCTGGGAGATGTAGTCCGGGGAGTGACCGGGCATCCTCAGGCGGTTATTGCGCTTCTGTAGGTTATCGTCGCGTGTCGGCAAGACGTGAGAGAACCGGTACTTTCAAACACTGGTGGAATACTGTGAATGTGTGCAGCCACTTTAGTTGCATATTATCAGTGTCCACTAACACATAAAAGTGTCTCTGTCTAGCGATTCTTCCCCAGTTCTGTCCGTGAGAAAATCTAACAGGACCAAAGAGAAACATCTCAAGAACCACTGTAGTTATTTGTAATAGAATAAAAGAAGAGTGAAGTAACTCTATGCATGCTAAAATGGATCTTCAGGGCATATTGTTGAAGGAAAAAACTTCAGATCAATATGTATGATAAGATAGTATTTATATTAACATTTTAAAACTTCAAAACAACACTAAATAATTTCTACAGAGTCATCCATTCATTCCCTTATTCATTCAACAAACAGTTATTTGGTGCCTACAACAGCCCAGGTACTCAGATATAGAGCAGTGAATAAAACAGATCAAATTTCTGCCTTACTTCAACTCTGTGGGGTTTTTTCCCAAAATCTGTGAGCCAAGTCTAATCATGAGAAAACATCCTAAAACCAAAACTAAGGAACTTTCTGACCAGTACAATACTCCCAACCAGTACTCCTCAAAAGTGTCAAGGTCGTGAAAGGCGAGACTGAGAAACTGTTGCAGATTAGAAGGTACTAAGGAGCCAGGACAACTAAATGCCACATGATGCCCTGGATTGAGTCCTGGAAGGGGAAAAGGACATTAGCGGAAAAACTGTTGAAGTGGGTGCCAGCCAGTTTGCCCAGGGCTGAGAGGACTTCGGGGGTATGGGACTTTCAGTTAGAAAACCAAACCAGTCAAGTCTTGGGCTCTTGGGAGCCCTACTAGTGAAATTCAAATAACATCTGTAGATTTGTTCACAGTTTTCATCAATTAGTTTTGATAAGTGTCCTATGGTTGTGTGAGACGTTAACATTAGGGGAAGCTGGGTGAAGGGTATGGGATAAAATCACCAAGGACTGAGTTCTGGGGTACGCCTTCCTGTAGAGGTTGGGAGACCCAGAGGAACCAGCAAAGGAGTCTCAGAGAGATGGGAGGAAAACCAGATGAGCATCTGACGCTGAAGAAGACCGTACACCAAGGCAGAGGCGGGATCGATAGTGTCAGATGCGGCTCCCAGGTCAGCGAGCTGAGCACCGAGCACTGACCGGTTGTAACTCTATGGGACTCCCTGGTGACCACATTAAGAGCAGTTTGGGAGCAAAAGCCTGAAGTTCTTGGGCTCGAGAAAAATGGGAGGAGAGTGGAGACAGTGATAATACACAACTCTTTCAGGGAGCTCTGCAGCAAAGGGAAAGAGAAAAATAAGACTGCAGTTGGGAAAGGAAGAAGGTCAAAGCGGGTGTGTCGTTGCGTTGTTTAATGAGAGAGCTGCAGGGCTGATGGCCTTGGACGGTGGAGGGAACGGGAGTTCCCCAGGGACAGGTTTGGCCTCTGCTAGGAGCGTGAGCAGTTTATCCACAATAACCAGAGACACGGCAGAGTACGTGGCCTCACTTGGCTTCTTTAATTTCCTCCAGGAAACAGGAAGCCCACTTGGTCTCCCTCCCTCCTTCACACCTTTGCTCAAATGTCACCTTCTCAATGAGGTTGACCCAGACCTGACCAGCTCACTTAAAATCACACTCTCCACCCCACATCGCTCTTTCAATCCCTCCACCAATCCGCTCTACTTTTTTTTTTTTTTCTCTAACGCATTAATTAACACCTTCTAGAACAGGGTTTCTCAACTTAGGCAATGTTGACATCTAGATAATTCTTTTTTTTTTTTAAGATTTTATTTTTTTCCTTTTTCTCCCCAAAGCCCCCCGGTACATAGTTGTATATTCTTCGTTGTGGGTCCTTCTAGTTGTGGCATGTGGGACGCTGCCTCAGCGTGGTTTGATGAGCAGTGCCATATCCGCGCCCAGGATTCGAACCAACGAAACACTGGGCCGCCTGCAGCAGAGCGCACGAACTTAACCACTCGGCCACGGGGCCAGCCCCTGGATAATTCTTTGTACTTGGGGGCTGTCCTGTGCACTGTAGGATGTTTAGCAGCATCCCTGGCTCCTACCAACTAGATGCCAGTAGAACCCATCCCCCTGTTGTGACAACTAGAACTGTCTTCAGACATTGCCACATGTCCCCTAGGGGGCAAAATTGCTCCTAGTTGAGAACGACTATTCCAGCATATAATATAACTTACTTCTTTGTTTATTTTTGTCTCCCACCAACAAAATATAAGCTCCACGAGGACAGAGAATGTGTCAGTTTTGTTCATCGATGTGTCTTGTGTGCCTAGAATAGTGTCTGGCACACAATTGGTGTTCAACAAGTATTTGCTGAATAAATGAGTCTATTCATGCAAAGGAGTGATTGTACAATTGACCTGGAATTTAGACTGTGTGAGGAGGGACCTGAGGACACCAAGGGATGAGGAACAGCAAAAGTGTGGCAAAATCAATGGATGGTAGATTCCAAAGAGGTCAAAAGTTTCTTGGAGTTGGGATGCTGGAGAGAGCTGGAAAGATAGGGGTGTTGGTTACAGAGTGGGATGCTTGAGACTGAGATTATGGGAGAGGGTTTTCGTGTTGGCAATGAAAAGATCTAGGGTGGTGCTTCCAGTACAAACATAACAGGAGTCGCATGTGTCATTTAAAAATTTCTAGTAGCGGGGCCGGCCCCGTGGCCGAGTGGTTAAGTTCACATGCTCCACTTCAGTGGCCCGGGGTTTCGCCAGTTTGGATCCTGGGTGCAGACCCAGCACCGCTCATCAGGCCATCCTGAGGCGGCATCCCACGTAGCAGAGCCAGACGGACCTACAGCTAGAATATACAACTATGTACTGGGGCTTTGGGGAGAAGAAGAAGAAGAAAAAAAGATTGACAATAGATGTTAGCTCAGGGCCAATGTTTAAGAAAAAAAATTTCTAGTAGCTACATTAAAAAAAGTAAACAATGGGGCTGGCCCCGTGGCCGAGTGGTTAAGTTCGCGCGCTCTGCTTCGGAGGCCCAGGGTCTCGCCAGTTCAGATCCTGGGTGCAGACACAGCACCGCTCATCAAGCCATGCTGAGGCGGCGTCCCACATGCCACAACTAAAAGGACCCACAACTAAAAACACACAACTCTGTACCGGGGGGCTTTGGGAGAAAAAAGAAAAATTAAAAAATCTGAAAAAAAAAAGTAAACAGTGACATTAATTTTAATAATGTATGTCCAAAATGTTATTTCAACTTGAAATCAACATAAAAATTATTAATGATAATTTATTTTTTTTCCACACTAGGTCTTCGATAGCTGGTGTGTGTTTTATACTCACAGCACATGTCAATTCAGACTAGCGGCATGTCAAGTGCGCCGTTGCCACATGTGACCGGTGGCTCCCATACAGGATGCTCTGGCTCTCCAGTATGGCTATGGGAATGGGGGGCTGGGGTAGGATGGAGGACAAGGTCACGGAGGTAGAGGGGTCCAAGGAACTATATCGAAGTCTCTAAGAATTAAAATAGGAATTGGATGGAGAGAGTGACAGCAAGCCAGGAGCCAGAATTATTGAGAAATGCGCCATCCATGGGTTGGGCAATGTCAGAAACAAAGTGGGTGGTATAAGCTGATAACTGGAGTTCAAACCTGAGTGTTTGAGAGGAAGGAGGGAGGAGGATGCCTGTAACTGGCGATGAGGATGGAGGAGCACGCCTACCCCACCTCCAGGCCCAGGGGCATGAGGGGCGGGGGAGTCTGTGGGATGAGAGAGGGGAGCAATAGGGACCTCAGGGAGGGCAAGGGTTCTGCTAGAGCAGGAGGCTTGAGGCCTGCAGAAGGGCTGAGGACACAGGGGACTTTGCTGAAGCTGGACCATGGACTCTAGAGGGCACAGTGGACAGCTATCACGAGGAGAGGGTAGAGATGGATCAGCAAAGGGGATGGCCAGGGCTGTGGAGAACCCAGGAGGCCAGAGTCCCTTGAGGTGTAGCTGAGCATCAGGGAGAAAAGGCAGGACCAGTTCTGATGGTCGCGAGGCAGGGGGTGGGGTGGAGGGCCAGCCGTGTGAGGGCACAGAGGGCAGGAGTGCCCCCAGGGGTACGAAGTGTCCCGAGGCTCCAACTTGATTCCACTGATGGAGGCAAGGAGGCCAGGGGAGCGCGGTCCACCGACACACACGTATGGGTATGTATGGAGCATATTAGCCTAAAGTGACGTACGGGTGAACAGAGCCAATCAAAGGGGAATTCAGCCCCTAATTGTTTTACAAAAAAGAAATTTGTGTATTATTGTAATTAACTTAAAATAGTATCAGCTACGTGATATTCTTGACAAAAAAGTTAAATCTGAATTTAATGAGGAAACAATCAGACAAATGCAAAATACAAATTGTTCTACCAAAGAACTGGCCTGGACCCTTCGAAAATGTTAATACCATGAAAGACAAAAAAAAACAAAAGGTGGCAGTGGAGAGTTGTTCTGTATTAAAGGACACTTAAGAGATAAGACAGCCTAATGCACATGTGGTCGAGAACTGGATAGTCAGTTTTTCATAAATGCTATAAAGAACTTTTTTTTTGAGGAAGATTAGCCCTGAGCTAATTACCGCCAATCCTCCTCTTTTTGCTGAGGAAGACTGGCCCTGAGCTAATATCCGAGCCCATCTTCCTCCACTTTATATGTGGGATGCCTACCATAGCATGGCATGCCAAGCGGTGCCATGTCCTCACCCGGGATCCGAACCGGCGAACCCCAGGCCGCCGAGAAGCGGAACGTGTGCACCTAACTGCTGTGCCACTGGGCCAGCCCCTATAAAGAACATTTTTGACACAACTGTGTCACAGCCTGGGTGGCTTCAACGATGGAAATGTATTGTCCCGCAGTTCTGGAGGCTGGAAGTCTGAGATCGAGGTGTTGGCTAGTTGGTTCTGTCCAAAGGCCGTGAGGGAGCGCTTGTTCCAGCCTCTCTCCCAGCTTCTGCTGGTTTGTTAGCGATCTGTGGCGCTCCTTACCTCGTCAGAGCATCACCCTGATCTCTGTCTTCATCTTCACGTGGCATTCTCCCTGCGTGTGTGTCTCTGTGTTCAAATTTCCTCTTTTTTAAAGGACACCAGTCCTACTGGATCGGGGGCCCACCCTAATGACCTCACCTTAAGTAATTACATCTGCAGTGACTCTACTCCAAATAAGGTCACCTACTGAGATCTTTCGGGTTAGGATTTCAATATATGAATTTTAGAGGGCCACAATTCAACCCATGACAGATAGTATATTAGATAATATTGTTGTATCAGTGTCACACCTGTTTAGACAATAACGGTGGCTTCTGGTGCCTCCTTATTCTGAAGAGATGCCTGTGAAGTATGTAGAGGTGTGAAGTTCAAGATGTCTGCCACTTACTTTCAAATGGTAGCAAAAGGTCCGGCCCCATGGCCTAGTGGTTAAGTTCAGTACGCTCTGCTTCAGTGGCCTGGGTTCAGTTCCCGGGAAGGGACCTACACCACTTGTCAGCAGCCATGCTGTGGCAGAAACCCATGTACAAAATAGAGAAAGACTAGAGCAGATGTTAGCTCAAGGTGAATCTTTCTCAAGCAAAAAGAGGAAGATCGGCAACAGATATTAGCTCAGGGCGAATCTTCCTCAGCAGCAAAAAAAAAAAAAAGTAGCAAAATCCATGGTACGCATATATGTAGATATGGGTAGATATGGAGGAAAAGCTAAAGCAGCCAATGTCAGCAATCGGGGAATCTAGGTGAAGAGTACAGGGAGTTCACATTCTTCCAATATTTCTGTAGGTTTGAAATTTGTCAACATAAAACATTCAGAGAAAATTCTTTAAAAATGTGAAAATCTTTTGGCTAATTTATCACGGGGGAAGGGGCCATTTCTTCAATTCAGTGAGGACGGCTGGAGGGCGCTCTCTTTGGGCTTCTACATCTCAACAGGCAGAGCAAACATCTGAACAGGCCAAAGGGATTTTACAGTGATTATCTCAGCAAAGTCTCACCAGAACCTCCCATGAAGTGGGTTTTCCCATCCCTACTGACCGAAGGGGAAACTGAGGCTTAGAGAGGTCGGATAATTTGCCCCTGACTGCACAGCTGGACCAGAACCCAGGTTGTCTGATTCCAAACGCTGGGCTCCTAACCAGGCCCTGGGATTCCAGGGGCACCCTCCAGCCCCCAGCCCCCAGCAGACATGACACCCGGGCCCCTTCTTGGTCCTTTCCCCAGCTCTAGGGCCTGCCATGAATCTCAGGGCATAGGCAGCAGCCCCCAGGCCTGATCCCAGGGCACAGGCCTTACCCCCCTTCCTACCAGCTCAGCCTCAAGGCTGGGTCCTGCCCAGTCGCGGACACCTAAGCTGAGAGCAAGTGAGACCCGCACCTTTCCAGCAGCCTCACCTTGGGGGGCAGCAGGATGTGCCCTCCAGGCTCATTTCCACCCTTCTCCACCAGCTCTGTGTCCCCAAGGCTGCCACCTGTGGCCTGTGGAGCTCTAAGGTCCTCTGGCTGCTGCTGGGGTTTGGACAAAAGGAGGCAGGAGATGGGAGGGAGGAGAGGGCGTGGAGGAATTTACATCCTGGGCTGCCTTCCTGCTCGGCCATGGCCAAGTTCTGCTGAGAGCCACAGCTCCTGTCAGGTAACACCACTGCCTCTTCCTGCCCGGCTGACCTGGGGCTGGTAACGGCTGCCCACAGCTGCCAGGGTTTGGGGGTACTGGCACTCCTTGGTGGGTTCCCTTAATGTTGCTCACATTTCTGCAAACCATCCCTTTGCTATTCAACTCTCCTCCTTTACCCCCATTTGAATCTTTTGATGTCTGAAAATACGGGGAAGACAACCTGGTCTTTAACTGTCTGCCTCTGATTCCCTCCCTCATCCCTCCATCTCTGATCCCATTTTCTGCACCCCAGGAAGACAGATCCAGGCAGGGAGGCCAGCAGTTTACAAAGTCGTCTTTATTGATTTCTTACTGCTTCACAGAGCGTCCGAGTCGGTCCCTCCCGGGAATATGGCATTTGAGAAGATAAATACTTATTTTGCCCCCTACTTGTCAGTAGAGGGAGATTTAATAAAAATAGTAATATAATAATAATAATGACTGTGATCAATAATAAAATGCCTCCTATGATCCCCTAATATGGTTGGTTGAAGCTTTAAGAAAAAGGACCCCCCCCTTTCTGGGAGGGGCCAGAGTGTGCCTGGAGACCCTCCAGTGGCCCCCAACGGGTGCCCATCTCCCAGCTAGTAGCCCTTATAAATACCCTCCCCATCCCATCCCTGTCTAGGAATTATCTCCCCCCTGGGCGGATTAGATGACAATGTCAGTTGGCTCATGGAGCCCCTCTCTGCTCCCACCCCACGAAGCTCCTCCCTCTGTGGGCGTGCGTTCTTCCAGCTGTCTCTCCCCTCCACCCCTCTCCCCTTGTCTCTCCTCTTCGTCCCCTGTCTCTCGTCCTCTTCACCACTCCTCCTGTATCCTCTCCTTCTCCTCTGGATGGCCCTCACCTCCTCCAGTCACTATCGTCTCCTCCTCTACTTCCTCCCGCCTCTTTCACCTACATTCTTCTCTCCTTCTCTATCCTCCTTTTCTCTGGATCAGAGCCTGTCTTTCCCACCCTGACCCTGAGCAGAGACTGGGATATGCCTCAGCTCGGCCTCACCTGGGGTCTAGACAGTCAAGACGACCCCAGACCACTCCCAGGGACCTGGCCCTTCTCCGTCCTTCATCCCGACTCTTGCCGACAAGCCTCCTGGCCTCGGCAGTGGAATGAGAGCTTTGGCACAATCACCCGTGGACAGCAGGCAGAGGGGCCCCCAGGGCAGAAGGGGGTCATTCTGTTTCCAGTGGCTGGCACAGGTTGGGGCTGGGAGTCAGGCCCCCTGGGTCCTGGGAACCCAGGCCAGCCTCCTAGTCGCTGCCCAGAGCAGGCTCTCCCTGAGTCCGAATTTCCACACAGCCCGGACCAGCCGGAGCATGGCACTCCTCAAGCTCTTGGCTCCCTCACATCTCCTGATTCCGGGGTTGGGGTGGGCCCTGCCAGAGGGTGTCAAGGGGAGCTCTCTGGTTCAGGGGCGGGCGGGAGGCTCCGGGGCCGTTCTGAGACCTGGAGGGGAAGGAGAAGGAAGCCAGGGTGGAAAGAAGGCAGGACTGTTTCCTCACCAGGCCAGCGCCTTCCAGAGGCCTCCCCAAGACCCATCACCGGCTGCAGCAGGGCCCCTGGAGGAGGCCAGATGTGAGGTGGGGGTGGGGATACACGACAAGAACCTGGGGAACTCCTACTTAACCCTGGCGCCCAAATCAAAGTCCCTGTGTTCATTCACTCCATTCTTCATTCAATCAACAAACACGCTTTACTCTGGGTGGAAGACAAACTTGACCCCCACCATCAAGGAGCCCCCAGCTGATGGAGGAGGACAGGCAGCAAGACGAAAACCACAGCACAGCAGGACTGACAAGGAGTGGGTGGAGGGAGGGTGCCGAAGGAGGTGCCAGCCCTGGGGACAGTGACCTCCTGACCAGGCAGCCAGGTGACCTTTGGAGAAGGTGCTTTGTGGGTGTCCTGGGCATTAATCAGGTTGAGGACAGGAAAGGGCATTCAAAGCAGAGGGGACAGCAGGGGCCAGAGCCTGAGGTGTGAAAGCACATGGCGAGTCCCAGGGCTCTGAGTGGCCTGGTGTGGCTGGAGTGGGCGTGGGAGTTGGACATGTGCCTGGAGGGTAAGTGGGAGCCTTCCCAACCCCTCTTAGGTCTTCCCCAGTCCCCAGAGTGCACTGCTTCCTCCTCTGACCCCCTGCCCACAGGCTGGGCCTCTGTTGGGAATCCCAAGCGCTCCCCTTTGTGGTGCCCTCCCCATGTGCCAGGCACGGTGCCGAGGTATCATCGCCTCGAACAGGCCTCATAATAATGGCCTCACTTTACAGGTGACACAGGCTCAGGGAGGCTGGGCTCCTTGCCAGGGGCCACACTGCTGAGACAATCAGAGCCGAGATTCCCACTAGGCCGACCCACATTGGGGTGAGACAGGGAAGAACCTGCATCTCTTAGGATCCAGGGCAGGGATGGGCTCAGCTTGTTCTCTGGCTTCAGGCCCCAGCGAAGGGCCGAGCATAGAACTGCCTGTCTTTGAAAGGGGGAAGGGAACGCCCCCACTGGCTCACCTGTGTCAGGGAGGCTGCCGGGCTCAGAGATCCCTGGGGGCAGGACACGGACTCGCTGGAGAGAGATGTCCAAGGCTTCCTCTTCACTTCTCCAGGCGCAGGAGGAGGAAGTGGACAAAAATCCAAGGTCAGATTTGTGGGGTCCAAAGGGGATGGAAACTTGGGGGAGGGATGTGGAGGTACTGGAGGCTGTGGGGCGGGGCGGTCCTTACTGGGGTCCGCGTCTCCGGCAAGGCCGTCGCTGCCCATGGACGCTGGGCGCCGCGAGGCCTCCGAGAAGCTGTGGGGCCGCTGCGGGCCGGAGCTGCGGGACCCTCGGCCCTTCTCTTCCGGAGCCTGTTGGGGGACAGGGTGGAGGGGCTGGCACTGGGCAGCACGACCGACCTGGCCAAATGAAGCGCCCTCGACCCCAGCCCGGACGTGCCGAGGTCCCGGCTCCCAGGTAAGCAGAGGCCTGTGATTGGCTGGAGCGCACCGGAGAGGCCGCTGATTGGCTCAGCCTCACCAGAGAGGCTCGTGCTTGGCCCCGGAGGACTCACCCGGGGCGGGTTCCTGGCGCTGGGCTTCCCGTCCATAGGGCCCATGTGCACCAGGTGGTTGAAGTTGGTGGGCGATGAGATGAGCTTGGAGCGCACAAAAGGGTCCTTCAGCATCTCCCTGCGGGCCGAGGCGGGGTAGGGAGGGGGGCGGCGAAGCTGACACCTCCCCCGCCCTCTCCCGAAGCTGACACGCCCCCCGCCGGCCCGGGCCTCGCCCCGCCCCCAAGGCTAGGAGGCCCCGCCCAGCCGCCCCCGGCGCACGCGCACCTGCGCTGCTGCTGCCGCTGCTCCTCCGACACGCGGAAGAAGAAGCGGCGCTTGCTCTTGGTACGGAACAGCTGGCGCCGGCTGTTGTCGGTGAGATCGGGGATGTCGAACTCGTCCTTCTCTGCGGGAGAAGCAGAGAGCTGGGCGGTGCCCCCAAGACCCCAGGGCCCCAGTCAGCCGGTGCTCGGGGTCACACACCCACAAGTGTGCACAGGCCAGCGCACGCACATGCATATACACGTGCACGCCCACTCCCTCACCTGCCAGCCGGTTCCTGAGGTAGGTCAGGCGGACCTTCTCGGTGCCATAGAGGAACAGGGAGCCCTCTGGGTTCAGGGGTCGCACCTGAGGCAGCAGGCACAGAGGTCACGCCATGCTACCCTACCCTACCCCATCCAGCCCCAGGGCTCTGGCAGCCCCTCACCTTCTTGAGTGGCACCGTCTGGACCCACTCTGCTTTCCTGACGTCAAACACATCGATGGAGTTCTCACTGAACACTGTCAGGTAGGGGGCTGCGTAACCTGCAGGGTGGGAAACTGCGCTGTGCAGCCCCAGGCAAGTCGGGCACCTCTCTGGGCTTGTTGCCTCCTCTGTACCACGGGGAACAGCCTGTGCCATAGCGCAAGAACTTCCACGCCCACACCAAAGGTCCTTCTGAAGACTCTGCTGTTGCCCCACCCAACCTCCATAACAGATGAGAGATAACCATCAGGAGAGCTCACTAGGTGCCATGCCAAGCATAGTTCTAACCACTTTGCATATTTTTTCTCCTTTAATTCTCAAGTAACTCTGGGTAGGTAGTCTTATCACCCCCTAACTTACAGATGAGGTCACAGAAACCCCAGAGCTAAGTAATGGCCAAGGTCACCCCGTGGTGAGTGACAGCTGGGAACTGGCCCCAGGTGGTCGTCCCACCGCCTACAGGCTGAATGTCTGTGTTACACCCAACCCACTGGCCTGGCCCCAGAAGGGCCATGGCTCATGAAGGGAGCTCTGTCTGTCCCTCTCAGCCTGGACTCCACCTGTGAACGTGCTGGGCTCCCTCACTGCCCTGTTTATCATTCATTCATTTGTTCATTCCTCCATTCACAGCCCTGGGGTGTGCTTGCCCTGGGACTCGGGACTGGACGCTGTATGTGATAAAGAAACCAGCCCCAGGCCACTCTGCAGCCTCCCAGCTACCAAACCAGTCATTGCAAGAAGGTGCTAAGCCAGGGCAGAGGTCTGAACAAGGAAGCTGGGGAGCAAAGTGGAGCGAAGGACCAATGACGGGGAAGAACAGGGCAGGAAGCATGAAAGCCATAAGGACAATGACAGCAATCACGGTGGTCATTTATGGAGGGCCAACCCGCTCCTGGCCCTGAGCTGACACTGTGGCTGGACTTGGTTAAGAGTTTGCCACGTAGGAAAAGGAGAGTAGTTGAGTCAGGGGAAGAGCGGGGACGAGGCACGGGCGAGGAAGATGCACGCATGCCACCGAGGGCATGGCAGGGTGTGGTCGGGCTAGAGGGTACACACTGGCCTCCAGGGCCACCCTCAGGAGTTTGGGCAGGAGCCTGTCTTCCTCTGACGTGGGGGATACACCGCAGGTGCCTGGCCCCACCCAGCCTGGCCCTCCACAGGCCTTACCCCAGCCCGTGGGCACTGCTGGCCACAGCAGCTCATGGATGCGAGACTTGCGGCCGGCACCGTCCACGTAGACCCCGGCGGTGGTGAAGAGCAGCAGGAACTCGTTGAGGCTGAGTTCCACAGCGCCCAGAGCCTCGCCCAGGCCCCCACGGGACGGTGGCAGCTCCTCAGGCACCAGATCGGCCCCCAGAGCTAAAGGTGCAGCCTCGTTGAGCAGCGGGTAGAGCGCAAAGGCACCCGCCGCACCCACGCACAGCCGGTCGCCCAGCAGCCCGAGGCTCTGCACAGGGGCCGGTGCCTGCAGCTCACGGATGCGGTGCTGCCAGGGCCCTGGGCCCGGACCCAGCTGGTAACACAGCACCTGGCGCTTGACGGCCACACAGAGCACGGGGGTGCGGGCCTGCAGGATGCGTCCGGCTGCCAGCACCTGGCAGCCTCGAGACTCGGGGATCTTGGCGCCCGCCACCTCCGTGCTCTCCAGCTCAGCCAGGGCGAAGAGGCGCACGCTGGGGCCACGGCCGCACAGCACGACCAGAAGGCCCGCAGTGGGGCTCACGGCCAGCCGCTGCACCCGCCGGCACTCGCCCACCTGGAAGATGTCTGCGGTGCGGCAAAGGAGAGCGTCACCAGCAGGTGGGTGAGGAGCAGCCCAGTGCCATCCTCCTCCGTCCCCAGGGGCTGACCCCACCCAGGCCCACCCTGGCCCAGCCTGGCACGTACCGTTGCTGTGCAGGTGGATCACAAACAGCCCTTCCTCAGTGCCCAGAGCAAGCCGTTCCTGGTCTGGGAAAGGGAGGGAGGGAGTCAGGGCTGAGGGGGCCTGTCCAGCTGTGGGACACTGGGCAGTCCAGCTGTCCTTGCTGAGCCTCAGTTTCTCCTGAGGACATGGGGACAGCGATCCTGCTGTCCCGGCATCACTGGACCCTTCTGTCCCAGAGTCTGCACTGGCTCTGATGGGGAAGGGCCATGGGGCCAGGGGACAAGGTGAGAGGCACCCCCCAAGCTGTGAGATTTGGGGTAAGTCATGTCACCTCTTGGAGCCTTGGTTTCCCCTTATGTAAAGTGGGGACAATAATGGTACCTTTCTCACAGAGCTGCTGTGAGCCTGTGAAGAGATGAAGCAGTACAGGGGTTAAGCAGACACCTTGCCCACAGCCATCGCCACTCAGTAAATGCCCTCATCCTCCTGGCTCCCAACTGACACAGGGGCCCTGAGGCACCCGCGCAGCCTCTCCTGTGGCTCCCGCCCGGAGTGACTGCAGGGAGAGGTCTCAGCTCGCCAGGGCAGGGCTGGCTCAGGGCCCCCGCTGCCGAGGGAAGCCAGGGGGCACGGCTGCCTTGCCCTCCCCCAGCTGTCCGTTATGGAGGCCCCGCTCTCTGAGCAGCAGGCTCCCAGCTGAACACAGCAGCCCCACAGAAGACGGTGTGAGGCCCAGGTGCGTCCAGGCTCCCCCCGGTCACTGGCTGCTGGTAGGAAAACCAGGAGGGGAACCCTCGTTCTCTTACTAAAGCCTTTGCTCTTTTCACCGGCTTGAGATTCTTTTAGAAAAAGCAGAAACTGAGGCACAGAGAAATGGAGCAGCAGAAGCCAGGTCCCCTGTCCCCTAGCCTGGGCTCCTCACACAGCCTTGCCCAGGGGAGGGTCGAGGCCATGTGTGCGAGGCAGAGTCCACAGCTTGTGGCTGCAGGGCAGTGACCACAGCCCTGGCGACTGCGGCTGAGCCAGCACTGCCCTGCAGGCCCAGATCCAGCCCGAAGCCTGCCCAGGGCGGCGTCCCCCCCCACCAGTGGGAGGCTCACCGATGATGGCGGCGCAGAGCGCGTGCGGCAGCAGGGGCAGCCCATTGTCGTAGGCCTCCTTGAGCGTGTACACAGGCCGGGGCTGTGGCCGCGTGTCCAGCAGCAGCCGCTGCAGCTCGCCCAGCACCTGCAGCCAGCGCTCCCGCTCGCCCTCGCTCTCCGCCAGCAGCAGCACGGTGCACGTGGCAGGTGGCACCGTCAGCTGGGACGCCGTCACCTGTGGGCAGGGACCCAGGCTGGAGGGCCGCGGGCCAAGAGCCAGCCATCCTTCCTCCACCAGCTGATGCTTCTTAGCACCGGCGTGAGCGCGCTGGGCACAGTGCTAGTGCTGTCTCATAGCAGGTAATAAGCCAGACGGGTGGTCACACAAGAACAGGGACAACCCCAGAGCCCTGGGGCCGGTGCGTGGTGGGGGAAGGACGGGGCATTGTGGGAACATACACCAGGGCCCTGAACCCAGGCTAAGCGGTGAAAGACCACCTCCCAGGGCAAGAGACATTTCTGCTGGAGCCTGGGTGTGAGTGGAGAAGCAGGCAGGGGACCGAGCACAGGGAACAGAATGTGAAGCGTCCACGGGCACAGGGCACTTTGGGGACTGGAGAAAGCATGGTCAGAGCAGAGAGAGGCTCCAGGGGAGAGGCTGGGAGGCTGCAGGGTCAGAAATGTGGGGCCTTGAGGCCACAGTCTGGAGCAGCCTGAGGGCAATGGGAAGCCACAGAAGGGGCCTAAACAGGCAGGACACGGCCAGCTTCACATATGGAAAGCTCGCTGCACTGCAGGATGGAGCATAGATGCTAGGGCCAGAATGGAGGCTACTGTAGCCGACCATGTGGGGGCGAAGGGGCCAGATGAAGCGGCAGCCATGGAGATGGTGAAAAGAGGCTGGAGTGAGGCCAGCGTGGAGGTGGACAGTGGTCCAGACCATCCTGCCCCAGACACTCACCCTAAAGATGCGTGGCAGGTCCTTGGATTGGGCATGGATCACATCAGAGGCCAGGACAGGGGTGGCAGAGAACTGGGGGTCCCTGGGAAGTCCAGGGAGCAGGTCAGAGGTCGCACTGCCCCCGGGTGCCCCTCAATCCACTGGTCTCTTGCCCCAGGCCGCCACCTGGCACCCACCTCAGATCCAGTGCCTGCAGGAGGGCCCCGCTGGCTGGGCTGAGCCGCGGGTCCGGGGCGTCAAACAGCAGCAGGCGTGAGTCACTGAGGGCAGCGAACACCCGCTGCCAGCCCCGCCGGACACCCGAGGGTCGAGGCACCTATGGGGAAGGCAGGCATGGGAGGGCCCGCCAGGCCCACAGCCCACCTGTGCCCGCCCTCCCCTCCCCGGCGCCAGCTCACCGACAGGAAGCCCTCATAGGCAGTGCCCGTGCCCGTTTCGGGGTGCACTCCCAGGGCCACGTGGAGAAGGTCAGGGGGCACGGGGCAGGGTGGGGCCTGTGGGGCACAAGTTGAGTGACAGAAGTAGCCGCAGGCTGTGGGGAAAGTGGGAGACGGCAGGTGGTGTGAGGCTGGGTGGGGCAGCCCAGCCCCAGCCTCCCTCAGGCCGTGGTGGCCCCTGAACTGTCACCAATTCCCCATCAAGTGAGATGAGAGAAACTGAGCACAGGGAAATGCTGAGCAAGAGGTACCAGGGGCCTGGGCTGAGAGAAACGGCCTGGGAGCCTCCGGGCCAGGGCCGCTGCCATTCCCTCCACCCCAGGGCTGTGGCTGGGCACGGGAGTGGGTGTGCGGGTAGCGTGGGGGTCTCACCATCACAGCCCAGGCCTTGGCGGCCCAGGCCCACCATCAGCGAGGCGCAGCGGAGACACTTGGTGGGGGACGGGAAGCTCCGGGGGCGCAGCGTGTGGGAGCCAGGCTGGGGAGGGGACATACCCATTACCCAGGCCTGACCCCAGCCTCCTGGGGCCCTGTGCCCCACCCACGAGGCCATCCTGGGGTGTCAGGCGGGACCAGGGAATAAGCCAGGTGGCAGTGTGAACTCTGACCCCAGTGAGTCTGTGGTAGCGCTCAAACTCATCACCACCACCCCGCCCCCCCCAGTGTGGTCTGCCAGCCATGACGCACAGGGAGGGACCCAAGCGGGTCCCTGGAAACCTGGCAGAACAGCTTGGCGCCCCAGCCCACTCCGCGCCTCCAGGCACTGACCTTTGCGGGAGGGCCTTCTGTAGCAGCTGTGGTGGCAGCAGGTGCTCTGGGGAACACAGCCTGCCGGGGAGGGCGAGCAAACAGGTGAGAAGCCACAGGCAGGGGCCCCAGCCCCCCAGATGTGGCTCTCATCTGTCCTCACCCCCAGGCGCAGGCTGCGGCGGCCCTCCGGCCTCAGCTCCGGTTCCGACCCCGGCCTCGGGGCCTCTCCTGAGATGCCAGGGTCCTTGGCGGGATCCTTCTGGGGATGGAGATGGGGGGCGAATCAAGGCCCCTGTGCCTCTCCCCAGGACTCCTCCCCAACCAGCCCCTGTACCCGTTCCTACCTCTGAACTCCGGAAGGACAGGAAGGGAATCAGCGAGTTTGAGGGCTTGGTGTCTGTAAACAGAGGGCACAGGTCACTGGGGGTGGCATCCCTGGCCCAGCCCTACACTTGTTCCTGAGAAACCAGGGCCTCAGTTTCCACCTCAGTAAAATGGAGAAATGACTGCAGGCTGGGGGGAAGGGGTGGAGGGGGAGGGCTGGCATGCAGCAGGCGCTCAATAAGTGCTGGCTAACAGAGGGTGGGGTAAGCAGCAGAGTCCGGACAAACTCGTTTCCACAGCCCTGCAAGGACCCCTTGGTGACCATGAGGCTGGTGTGGCGGACTTGCTCAAGGACCGGCACGCGGGTGGCCACCCACCTCCTGGCCCGCGGGCTCGCAGCTCCTCCCGAAGTGCAGCCAGCTCCTGCTTCAGGCTCTGGTTCTGCTTCTCGGCCTCCTGCAGACGGCTGGGGGAGAACCAGGGAAGGCTCGCCATGGGGCCAGGCCTCTGCATGGGCCCCGGACCCCTCGGCAGCGCCTGCCTTAGTCTCACCTCTCGGCCTGCAGCTGGGCCTCCTGCGCCTGCGTCAGCCGCTCCTGCAGGCTCTGCTTGGCCCGGATCTCGGCCTCCAGTGCCGACTGCAGTTCCAGCCTGGCCGAGGCCTCCATCTTCTGCAGCCGCCGTGCCTTCCACTGGTGGTCCTGGTGGCCGGGGGCACCCACGTAAGATAGCCCCCGGGCCTGGCTGCCTCAGAGGCCCTTCCCACCCGAGCACACGGTTCCCCCCGTCACCTGGCCAGGCTCAGAGCCCCAGCTCTGCCACTGATCCGCTGTGAGCTTAGGCAAGTCACTGATCTTCCACGAGCTCAGTATCCCCACCTGTGGAGTGAGGCTACCGGCACCCCCTCCTCCCAGGGTGTCTCCGGGGCTCACCAGTGGCCGGGTGGGGAGCGTCTGGGTGCCCACATTCCGCAGGGACTCCAGCTCCTCGGCCATCTTGGTGGCCAGGGCCTGTAGGTAGCCTCTGGAGACCTTCTCATCATTCACCCTGATTGGGCAGGGGCTCAGGGTCATGGGCGGGCCCTCAGCCCTGCCTGGGCCCAGCCCCTGGCTCCCAGCCCCCAGCACCCACCAGCTGAGGATGTCGGCGAGCTGGGCCTCCCAGTTGCTTTCTGACTCCTGCCGCTCGCCCTCCAGCCGCTGCTTACTCTGCAGCTCCCGTTCCAGCTCTTCCACCAGCTGGGGGCCGGCGGGGAAGCTGGGGTCAGTCCACAGGGGCCCCAGTGTCCCTGAGTCCCATCTGTGTACACCCTCATCCACCACAGCAGCTTGCCCGCCGGCTGGGGAGACAGCCTGCCCCGGGACCCCGGCAGCTCCCACACCTGTCCCACTGCCCATCTGGCTGTCCTGCCCTCCGTCTGCCCTGCTCACCCGCTCCTGCTCCTGGCTCAGCCGCCGGTTCTCCTCCTGCAGCCGGCACAGAGCCTCCTCCTTCCCGCTCGGCCTGGGGAGGATGAGGACGACCCGGTGACTCCCAGCTCGGGCCGGCGTCCTGTCCCCTGCCCCGGCTGCCCAGCTCACCCGTGGCTGCGGGCCTGCTCCAGCTGCACACGCAGGGCAGCCACCTCCTTCCTGAGCTGGGCTTCTTGAGGCCTGCTTTCGGGCGAGCCCGTGCCGTTGGTCTCGGAGGTGGTGTGGACGGTCTTGAGGACATGGAGAGGGTCAGGGGCCTGAGAAGCCATGGCCCACCCTACCCCTGGGACACAGGCCTGGCCCCGAGGGCCCCGAGTAGGTCAGGCCAAGGGCAATGCCACTGGGCAGGGGGTAAGATGTCACTACCTTGACCTGGGATGGCTCCTTCTCAAGGCTTCGCTCCTGATCTCTCTGGAGCCGCCTCACCTCCCGGCTCAGGGTGGCCACCTGGGCCTGCAGCTGTGATGAGTAAAGAGGTGGCCAGTGCTGACCTTGTCTACCCCACCCCTCTCCTCCACCTTGCTATGGACTCTTGGGCTCTGCCAGCCGCAGCAGGAGTGGAGGCGGTGGACCCCAGCCCACCCCACCCTAAATGTCCCCTTGCTCAGGGCGCTGCCAGCCACAGTGGGAGGTGCAAAGGCACAGGGAGTTCCCAGCCCCTCAAACTGAGCTCCCCAGCTTCCTCCTGCCATGCTGAGGGTCATGGGGACCCTGCTGTGTTCCCTCCCATGCCATCACTCACCTCCCTCCGGGCATCCCGGGCCTCCTCCAGCTGGGAGTTCAGGGCCTGGGTCTGGCTGGCTGTGGATGCCTCTCTCTCCTGGGCTTCCTGCAGCCTCTGGAGCAGCTCCTCCTGCCGCCCTTGGGCTCTGCCCAGCTCCTGCTCCTGCATCTGCAGCCTTGTCTGAGCCTCGGCCAGCTCCTGGGGGGGCGGGGGGCCTGGAGTCAGGGCATGGACCTCCTTTGCATGAAGCCCTGGGCCACTCACCCACCTCACCAGGCCCTCACCTGGAGGAGCCGGTCTCTCTCCTGCTGAAGGTCACTGTGCTGGCCTGGGCTACCCTCCGTCTGAGACACGGGGGCCTTGCTTTCCCTCAGCATCTCTGCCGGAAATTGTCACTGAGACCTGTACATATGGACTGCCCTGGCCTCAGCCAGGCACTCCACGGGCAGTATCTCATGAAACCCTCACCACAGCCTGGGGGGGGGGGTCTCCTTGACCCATTTTCTACCTGCAGGCTCAGAGACTTTAAGATACTTCCCTAAGATCACACAGCATGTACAGAGCAGGGGCAAGACTGGAACTCAGGTTAGACTCAGGTGTGCTGGGAAAGCCACTTAGCCTCCAGGGTGAGGGGAGGGGAGAAGAGATGGGGTGGGGGTGTGGGAATACCTGACAGCCTGTCCTGTAGAGTCTGCACCTCCTTCCGCAGCTGCTCCAGCTCCCGGTGGTCCGAGGGCATCTGCAGGGCCTCTGCCGTGGGGGGCATCCTCAGGTGAGTGGTTAGTCCTGCAGCAGTAGCCCCAGGTCAGACCCACCCTGCCCCAGCCCAGCTGGCTCCCCGGTACCTTGGAGCTTCCGGCTCAGCTCCGTCTTCTCCTGCTCCAGACAACGGAGCCTCTGCTCCAGGGCAGCCACCTGCTCGGAGCTGCTCTCAGGGCTGGGACTAGGGAGAGCAGGGCAACACAAGTTAGCAGAAACCCCTCCCCTCGGAGCCTCGTCCATCCTCTGGCGTCCAATCATTCACACATCCCAGAAACACCCACTGCCGCCAGCTCTGCACCAGCCCGGGCTCCGTGCTGGGAGGGAAGCAATCACACCAGGCCCCGCCCTTGGGAGACCCATGGGCAGCAGCCCAGGGCACTGGCTCCAGGGTCCCCCGGACCCAGGTTCAAGCCCCAGTCCTGGCCCTCAGAGGCTGTGTGACCTTGAACAGTCACCCAACATTTCTGAGGCTCAGTTTCCTCCCAGGAAATGGAGGTGATAACAGAGCCCCTTCCAAGGGCTGTCAAGAGGACCCGGTGAAATGGGCCCAGGCAGCCCCGTGCCCGGCACACAGTGGGCGCCCCTGAGCGCGGGTCACATGCGTTTGCTTACACCTCGGAGTACCTCCTGGCCGGGGACCTCGCTGTGGTCTCAGCCCAGCCCCACGAATGGAACTGGAAAGAGCATCCCACCCATTTCACAGAGGCACAAAGTGAGGCTCGGGAGCCGTAGGGGCCCTTGCACCTCCACCCCAGCCTCTGGCTCTGGGTCCAGTACACTCCTCGCCTGCCGTGGAGGGGACCGTGAGGACCCAATGCTGGGCAGGACCCTGAGGGCTCATGGGCATGGGTTTACCAAGACCTTGAGGACATGGGGGGCTGTCCTCCTGAAGGCTCAGAGCACACATCCTGAGCACCGATCACATGGGTGGGCCAGTCGGCCCTTCCCAGGGTTCCGATGGGCTACACTCCCTGCATCCTCCAGGCCGGGCAGCCCCCAGCTTCCCACCAGGTGTGTAAGGACCAGACCCACCTGCTCGAGGTGTAGGTGAAGCCCACAAATGGCAGGTGGTGGCCGGAGAAGGTCCCATGGGAGGGTGGTGGCAGGGTCCCCTGCAGGAGGAGGAGGGAGAGCCAGAGTCAACAGGTGCAGCCCCAGGCGACCCCCTGGGACTGGGAGCACCGACCTTTTCCCACTCAGGTGGAAACCTAGGGGGGGTAACATGGCCTCCCCAAATGGACCACAACTCCCATGAGTCCTTGAGGTCATGGCCTCCCAGGCGCTGCTGGGAGTCATCTTCCTTATACAAGTTCTGGTTAATAGGCTGACACTTGAGGTCAAAGGGCTTTCACTTGCCACAACCCACCTCAGTGCAGGTGAACAAGTGCAGGCGAACCACAACCCCCGTGAACCTCTGGGGTCCCAACGCCTCATCCTGAGCCCAACAACTGCTTTGGGGACCTTCAGGGGTGTTTCCACAACCAGCAAGGGGCAAGGCAGTTTTCCTACTGCACTGGGACCCGCCACTCACTGGATGGTTGAGGGTGTCATCATCCACGTCGAAGTTGGAGGTGTCCATGGGCCCACGGAGCTCAGGGATGTAGGGGGCAGTGCTGGTCGCCAGCCGCTCCCAGTCCACACCTTCGAAGAAAGGGTGGTTCCGGAAGTCGTCCAGCCCTCTGCGGCCCAGTCGCTCCTCCTGGTGGCACAGCAGCTGGCGGATCAGGTCTCTCGCGCTGGCCGGCACGTCGGGCACATCCGGGGGAAACTGCAGGTGGTCCTGCAGGCCCAGGGGGAGGGATGCAGGTGGGTGGCCAGGATCCCACCCTGCCTGCAGGCATCACCAACCACGCGGGCTCAGAAGTCCCGCTGCCCTCCCAGAACCCCAGAGCCTGGCGGCCGACCTCATGGTTCATGATCTTGCCGTAGGTTTCCACCAGGGATTCAGCATAGAAGGGCGTCTCCCCAAAGAGCAGCTCGTAGGCGCAGACTCCCAGCGACCACCAGTCGCATTGTGGGCCGTAGTGGCCCTTGCCCTCCTCCATGGCCTGCAGGATCTCAGGGGAGATGTAGTCAGGGGTCCCCACTGCCACCGATGAATCCACCTGTGGGTGGTGGTGGTGGTGTTGACATCATAAGCACAGCCTCAGGCTTAGCTGTGCCTGCTGGCCCCTCACCGTGGCCTTGGCACCCCCACTCCCTAGGGCTCAGCTAGCCTGATGCCCCTTATCTGGGGCCTGGGCCCAGCCCTTCCTTGCCCTGGGAGCCTGATGCTCCCTGCACTAGGCCTGGTGCCTCCCATTCCCCTGGGAGTTCTCCTGGCCGGATGTCCCCTGCCCCCACTCTGGGGTGGATCCTTACCATGCCACTGTTGTTGAGACGCAGGCAGGAGCCAAAGTCAGCCAGGCGGATGTGTCCATTCATATCCAACAGGACATTGTCCGGCTTGACATCCCTGAGGAAGGGCAGGGAGAGCGAGGGGCTTGACCTGGGTGTGTGGATGTGCGTTTAGGCACACGCCTGGGCGTGCGTGCAGGGGCACGTGCACCCACTACCATGTATATGCTCACACGTGTTCCTGTGAGCACATGCGAGCAGCATGTGTGTGCATGCATGTGGGAGGGGGCAAGGCTAGTGGCCAGGCCTCCTGGCTCCCAAGAAGGAAGCAGGTGGTTAGATTGGGGAAAGGGGCCCATAAAGACGACCCTCGGAGGCAGCAGAGTGTGCAGTGGGGGATGCAGGAGGCAGACTGGCCCAGTGCAAACCATGGCTCGGCCACCCACTTACCCAGGGTGCCCACTTCCCTGGGTTAAGCGAGCCCTGACTTCCTCATGTGTAGAATGGGATAATAGCAGCCCCACCACATAAGGTTTCGGTGTGAGGATGTGAAAGCATTGTGCATTTGAAGCATCCAGCACAGGGCTTGGCATGCGTGTCGTCAGCTGTCCCCAGAGGAGGGGCTGGACAGGACAGCGGGGGCTTTGGGGGCCCCACCTGTGGACATAGCCCAGCTGGTGCAGTGAGTGGATGGCCAGCACCATCTCAGCCAGGTAGAACTGGGCCAGCTCGGGCGGGAGGCGGTCCTCGAAGCGGCTCAGCAGAGTGAGGAGGTCCCCACCAGCGTAGTAGTCCATCACGAGGTACTGGGTGGCAGTGGGTGGGGGGCAAGAATCAGAGCGGGAGGGTGGGGGGCACCTGCCCCAGGGCCCTGTCTCCTACTGCTCCATGGGGCTCAGGGAAGACAGGGCTGTGTCTCCCAGTAGCTCTGGGCTGGCCAGCTCCCAGCCAGGCCTCAATCAGAGGCTGCAGGCCTGGGAGCTGGAGGGGAGTGGAAACCTCTTGGTCCCAGTCGGAGGGTCTCTCTCTCCTTGGACCCAGCGCCTCTGGCCCCCAAGGGCCTTCTCCTTTCTTCCCAGGCAACTCCCCTCCAACCCTGCTGAGTGTCCTCACCAGGTACTCCTCGTCTTGGAAGGCGTAATGCAGAGCAGTCACCCAGCGGCTGTCCCCCTTCACCAGCACGTCCCGCTCCTCCCGGAAACAGGCTGTCTGCAGCAGGTTTGGGGAGCAGGGGGCGGGGTGGGATCAGAGCCAGGAAACCCTGCTGGCCAGCTCAGCGGGTGGGGGGAGACTCAGTAAGCAGAAGCTGGATGGAAGTTGCCTGTGTGAGCCCAAGCCCATGCTTTAGTGCTCTGGGCCTCGGTGTTCTCATAAGGAAAATGGGAACAACTCTGCTTTCTTCGAAGAAAGGCTTCCCTGAGGAAGGGCTGGGGGAAGTGGGCGGCTGTTGGGGGTGGATCCCCTGCCTGTTCAGCAGCCGTGCTCGCCCCTTCCCGTGTATGCCTCACTGGAAGCACGCACCCCTCCCTGCCCCTTTGTGGGGCGCCAAAGTCCCAGCAGACCCCAGACTGACCTCGGCCCTCTTCAGCATCTCCCATTTGTGCAGCATTTTCATGGCAAAAATCTGCCCGCTGTCCCTCTGCCTCACCACGGCGACCTGAGGCCACAGACAGCACAGGGGTCAGGCCAGCCTGGGCGCGCACACCCTCCTCCCTCCTTCCCCAAGCCTTGTGCTCACCTCCCCGAAGGCCCCTCGGCCGATCACCTTCAAGATCTCAAAGTCATCTCTCTGCAGCCGCAGCTCTTTCACCTTCGTGACGAAGGGGCTGGCTGAGGGGACACAGAGGGGCTCAGGGAACCTGCGGAGGGCCCCAGCTTCCTCTCCCACATGGGGAAAGCCAGGACCTGCAACTCCCAGGAGGCCAGGGCAGGGAGGACCTCCCCAGGGGACGGCCTCTGGCCAGAGGGTTGATAGGTGCTGTGGCCCACGCAGCCATGATCAAGAAGCATGGAAGGTGAGGTCCTGGCTCTGCTCACCCCCTGACCCCAGCCCTCCCTGAATCCATGGCTCCTTGGACCCCTGTCCCCAGACTCCAGGCAGCCTCCGCCCCAGGGGCTGATGGAACTTATAGTTCTTCCCAGCCTGGGGGCTGACCCTGGCTGGCCAGGTCACCCTGGGGACGATGGGGATACCATTCCCACCCCCAGCTCACAGTTCTTGGCCCTCTACAGGACCAGGCCGGGCTTGTCTTGGGAAACTGGACGGGCAACATTCTTTGTCCCCAGAGAGGCTTCTCTGCCATTGAGGAGCTGTGGGCCCCGGTCCTGGGACCCTGTAGGCACAGAGGTATCTGGCTGTGGGTGAGGCCTAGGGCAGCCCCGGAGAACAGGGAGGACAGTGGCTCTGCAGGGCTCTGGGGACAGATTCTGTGCTCCCCGTGTGGGGCCTCTTCAGTCTGGAGGCAAGGATAGGTCTGCCCGGCTTCTCACAAGAGCCAAAAGTCCTTTTGCTGGCGCCTGCCGCTGGCACCCGAGGGTGTGGGCACCCAGGATCTCCTCCAGGCCTGACCAGCCCTACAACTCTGAGCCCTCCCCGTCTCTCGACGCGGCCTTCTCCTGGCCAGGAACCTCCTCCTGCCTCAGAGTCCCTCATCCTCCCACGAGGGGCATCTCCAGCCACTCCCAGGCCCCTCTACAGGCCTGGGGAGGGAATTAGGGACTGGAAAGTTAGGGAGGCAAGAGCGACCAGCAGGGGGTGGGGGCAGCTGCAGTCTGGCTCCCTGCCTCAGTTTCCCCCTGCCAGGAGGTAAACTCGCTGCCAGCTGGGCGGGTCTGTGGGTAGGACAGAGAGCTGCTCCACAGGTTTATCAGGCAGAACCCCCGCAGCAGGGGTGGTGTGGAAACCTCATTACAGAAATTAATTGTCTGTTTCCCAGGTCTGTGTGCGCAGCTGGGGAAGAGCAGCAGCCACAGGCTCCGAGGGGGAACGGAGGCCAGGGCAGCTACCCATCAACCAGACAGGCCAAAGCCCGGGGCCCACAGCCAGGAGGACCCAGGCCCCTAGGACAGGCTGCACAGTCCCCTCACCTTGCTGCAGGGGATGGGGGCTCTGGGCAGGAGCAGGGACAAGTTGGGGCAGGAGAGGAGTGAGTCACTGCCCTGTGTGTTACCTTAGGAGATGTCAACAGACAGGCCCCCACGCTGGGGTCCGAAGCAGAGGTGCCAGAGGCAGGCAGGGAGGAGCAACTGTGTGTGCAAACACACACACAAACACACACGTGGGCGTCACAGGGGGTGATGACAACACGGTCAGACACACACACACATAGGGTGCAGAAGTCCCGGGGAGACAGGCAGGCAGCAGAGGCAGAAGCCCTGTGATGGCCCTCACCCCAGAGGAGAGGGCGGGGGCTGGGGGCTAACTCACTGGCTTGTCCTGAAGGCCCCCAACTGTGCCAGGCCGTGCCTTGTGCCTGCCCAGAGCTCAGGGGTGCCAGGAATGCTAGTCGCCCACTGGGCAAACACCCGCCTCACCCCACCCTACAGACCAGGCCCCTGTGTCCTCCCCCCATGCCCTGGCAGGTGTGACCAGGGAGCCCTGGGGCTGGCGCCGGTGCCCATGTCGGGCTCAGGGTCACCCCGGGCCAGCCACTCCCGGTGACTCAGATGAGTCAACCAGGAAGGGGTGCAGACCCACCTCCAGCCAGGCCCCCCTCCCTGGCCCTGAGAACAGCCCTCAGGAAGCATGGCCAGCGGCTTGCACAGACAAAGGGGCTGAGAGGTTGGTTCCTGTGGCCAGGCTGGGGTGGTCTTGTATGCAGGGAGATGAAAGTGTGTGTGGGGGGAGGAGGGGGGAGGGATGCTGGCAAATGTGCAACTCCTACAGATCCGTGAGTGGAAGTAGGCGAGTGTGTAACGGCCCGTGTAGTTGGGGGTGGTCTGCAGGGTGAAGTGTGGGGCTCCCCGGGTCTCTCTGTGAGCTATGTATGAGTATCTTGGTGTGTCTGTGTGGTAGGTGGGAGACTGAGAAAGCATGTGTGTCAGTGGGTGATGTGCATGGGGGTCTGCGTGTGTGAGAGTGTGTGTTCTCACGGGCATGAGGTGTGACGTGGGAAGGAGCAATCCTGGACGTGCCTCTGTAGAGCCTGGGTTGTGTGCATGTGTCTGGGTCTATACCTTGGACCGAGTGTGTGTGTGTCGGTGTGAGACATGTGTTGTGCATCGTGCCAGGTTCTGTGAGTGGGGAAGAGTGTGTGTGCAAATCTGAGCGAGGGTAAGGTGTGCAGGTGACTGAGAGGACCTGCGGGGTCCGGTGGCACGTGTCAGAGCCACTGCGGGGTGTCTGCGGGGGGGTGGGGGAGACCGGTGGGGGTGCGGCTCCCTGTGGGAGGGTCTGTGGGAGTGGAGTGCGGGGGAAGAGGGTCCCGGCGTGGTGTCCCTCGGGCCGCCCCCCTCGATCCCGCCTGGGCCACTCACCCCAGCTCAGGAACTGCGCCACGTTGCGCTCCCGCCGCAGGGGGGCGCTGCTGAGCTCGTGGTGCAGCCCCAGCAGCAGATCCAGGAGGCCGTCGAGCCCCGGGCCGCCGCCGGCCTCGCCCCGTGCCAGCTCCTCCAGCGCGCGCCGCCGCTGCTCCATGGCCGCGGCCGGAGCCCCGCGCCCGGGCTAAAGCCGGCCCGCCCGCATGCCCGCCCGTCGGTCCGTCTGTCGGTCGGTCCGCGCGTCCTCCCCCCACCCTCCCGCCCTCCCCGCTGTCACCTTCCTCTGCCGCCGCCCGCGCGCCCTCACCTGGGCGCCGCGCCCCGCCCCCTGCCCCGCCCCCCGACGGACGGGCAGGTGAGCGCCGGCCAATAGCAGACGCGACTGGAGGTGAAGGTGGGAGGGTGGAGGCGCACGGGGGCGGGGCCAACCTCGGCCAGGAAGTGGGGGGGCGGACCCCGAGGAGTAACTCCTGGGCGGGGCGGGGCAAGGGGGTGTCCCTTGGGGGCCGGGAAGGCCGCCCAGACCCCGGCGCGGCCCCAGACCCCGCCCTACCGGCCCCTCACCGGCCCCTAACCGAGGCGAGGGGTGCCCGGGCCCTGCAGCTTCCCTCGCCCCCAGGGCAGCGGCCGCCGGCCCCTCAGCTCAGGGAGACGGGCTGGGGCGCCCGCGGCCCCGGAGCCGGATGGGAGTTGTAGTCCGCTTCCTCGCCGGGATGCCGTCCGCTCTCGGCGCCCCCCTCCAAAAAACTCGCTAGTTTCTGATTTCACTTTATTTGTACCGTTACAGCCGACCTGGGGGACAGCTAGGTGAGGCAGGGATGGTTACACCCATTTGGCAGGTGGACACACTGAGGCTTGGGTAGGACGAAGGTGAATTGAGAGGCTGAGAGTGAGCAGGCCCTGCAGCTGGACCTTGGAGCGGGGCTGGGCTGCTGACTCCACCACGGCTTCTTACGCTAGGCGGGACCAGGGCTTGCGGCCTGGCCTCGAGCTTCGGGGCCAAGGAGAGGTCTGAGCTGGGCTGGAGGAGGCGGGGGGTGGGAAGGACGACTCTGTCCAGTGGTATTTCTGCCTTCTGTCCAGCTGTCTCCAGCTGCGCTGGACCAGACACCATGGGATTGTGGGTCTGTCCAAGAGGAGGGACCACAGGGTGGGGCATTTTAGTGGCTTTAGACAACAAATTCTTCCACTGAAAGACCTCTTTGGGGATTTGCCTCCCCCCGCAGACGGGGACCTCCCTGAGCCTGGACAGGGTCAGATTGCCGGCGCTGAGGGAGGAGGCGCTCTGTGAATGTCTGTGGTGCAGCACACGGGGCTTTCCGAGGGGTCTCCCACTTAACCTCCTCAGACACCTGCCCTCTGGCCTCGCGGGGCCCACAGTCTGGGAAACGTGGACCTGGAGTCCGGCTGTCTCGCCCAAGTCAGTCAGGTGGCCGAAGGGGAGTCAAGATTCACACCTAAATCTGAGGATCCCGTCGCTGCCTCTGTGTCTCTGGGGAGGGGCTGGAGGGCAGGGGCTGGCATGGTGAGATGGAGCCCTCAGGGTTCTCACCTAATGCGTTCTGTCCCTGCTTATGGGGCCCGACAGACATGCGGCCCACGGGAGGATTCCCACCCTCTGAGGCCACAGGGGGGCGCCAGAGACCAGAGGAGGGCTGCGTGCTCAGGCCAGGACCAAGTTCCCATCTCCTGGGGAGCTAGGGGTAGGGAAGGGTCCTGGGTGAGAAGATGGGCCGTTCCTTGCTGCCCCTCTTGGACGTCCTGATCCCCCGCCCCCACCCCACACAGCCTCCTGTTGTCAGCAGTCAAGGGCCAACTGGAGAGGCCTCTGGGTCACTCCCTGTGTGAACCTTGGGCACTGCCGAGTCCTCAGATAAGATCCACCACCCTCTGCCCAGCCCTTCAGACTCCATCCCCACATGGTACAGCAGAGGGGAAACTGAGTCCTGCTGAGGCCTGCGTGAGCAGAGCTGGGACTGGCCCTGGGCACTCCCCGCCCATCTGGTGCTTGATTCTGTTTGGTCCTGTGTTCATTTTGTCCCATCCTTGTTCCAAGCTTGCATTTATCTGTAAAAGGGGGTCGGGTCAGGCTCCCTGTCCCCTCCTTTGCAGCTCCAGGTCATAAGGCCCCTCAGGACTCTGTGCCTGAGTCAGCCTCAACAAGCGGCCAGTCCTCCAGCCCTGCCAGCAGAAACAGCCCCTGCGCTTGGCCCTGCTTTGCCCCAGCAGATCTGTTCTCTGCTCCTGTGTGAGCCAGACCACCAGGGCCACAGAGGCCTCTCTGCAGGAGGCCCTGCATGGTTGGTGGGTGCTCAGTGGATGAAGGAGGGTGAGTGGGAGACCTCCACCACCCCATCTTCCCACACCTCCTCCCTCACACTCCCAGAGGCCCACCTAGGTGCAGGGGCACCTGCCCCCCATAACCTCTCTCCCATCCAATACGAGCCTCTTAGGTATCAAGGTGCTAGCATTGCTCTCACCCAGCCCTGGGGGGAGCAGATCTTTGTGATAACACCTTGCATTCCTATGGTGCTTCTTAGCATTTCAAAGTGACTGCAGATCTCTTATCTTCACAAGGTCTTGCCAGAAGGAGGGAGTTACTACCCTGCCTTCGAAGATTAATACCTCGAGGCTGGGGAGGTGGGAGGCGGATGGTGCCAGCCTCCAGCTCCTTACCCAGGTTCCAGGCCTAGGCCAGTGCTGGGCAGCAGAAGGACAACATGTGGCACCCAGATGCTAAGTACAGGGGACGGGGAAAAGCCAGCCTGCCGTGGACTCCATGTGGGCTTCTGCGAATGGCCTGGGATGGTGAGAAAAGGAAACTGTCAGTTCAAAGACCCAGGCCTAGCGAAAAGAGAGGATGGCTCTGATGAGGAGGAACCCCAAGAACAGGGGGAAGGTGAGGGCCAAGTGCGAGTGAGGGGCAAGGAACCCAGGTTTTCTGACCTGCCCATCCCCCCCCACCCCAGCATAGCCCTCTGGGTCTAGGAGGGGCCCAGACACAAGGCAGGCTCGGGGGTCTTTGGCTCCCCTTCCCCAGGTGGGAGGAGCAGCTGCTCCCAGTAGATGGTCCTGCAGGGCTGACCAGAATGGCAAGCTGCCCCTACCCTGGGCCGCACTGGAAGCGCAGTGCCCCACTCCTGCCCCAGGGAGCCGGGGGACAAGGAGTGGCTGTCTGTGGGGTCCTACAGCTCTGCCTACTGTTGACCAGGCGTGTGGCCTTGGGCAAGTCAAGTCACTTCCTGTCTCTCTGGGCTGCTGACTTTGTGCGAACTGCCCCAGCTCAGGTGTGAGGGGCAAATGGTACGCGGAGCGGTCGCCAGTGGTCGCTGGAGTGCGTCTCTAGGTTGGAGGGTGGGGGAGCTCGTGTCAAGCTGCACTGCTGCTCAGGCTCCCGGGTTTTATTTAAATGTGTGTCCATTGGGGTGGCTTTGGGGGAGGGGCTGATGGGCATGGTGGGCTTGAGGGTCTCCACTCCCCAAGCTAGCCCTTGGCAGCCCCGCACGCCCACTCCCTCCCCGCCCACCTCAGCATACCAGGGGTGTGTCCTTTGAAAAGTCCAGAGCTCCAAATGGTGGACATATGGTGATTTCATCATCCTGGCTTTCCTTCCAAAAACCTTCTCTGTGCTGCTCCAACACACCATAGGGGCTCCCACGCTCCTCAGCAGCAGCAGGCCACGTGGTTTTATAATTATCAATCCCCCTGGGCGCACAGGAAGCCAGGCCCTGAGCCCCCTCGGCCACCACCCTGCTGGCCCATGGGCGCCGCCGAGTCTGCAGGCTGCTTGGGGAAGGGTGGGTCCTGCCGCTTTGTTCTGGGAGTTGGGTGGAGTGCCGGGCTCTGTGCATGGACCCTCACCCCGACCCTAGCCAACCTCCTGGGATGCTCAGCAAAGGCAGCCATTCGAGCTGGGCACCCTAGGGACCCTGGCTCTGGGAAGTAGGGTCACTGCCTGCATTTGGAGGAAACAGACTGAGGAGGGGAGAGGATGGCTGAGTCCCAGCCGGAGGCGGAGCTGGACTTGAACTCCTGCCTGCCCCGAGGTCTACCTCCACCTGGTTTCGGAGCTGGCCTGCTTTGCCTGCTAAGGGGCAGGACTGGTGGCTCGTATCCTAACCCTGTCATAGCCTGGTGGCCTTGGGCAAGTCCTATGACCAGCCCATTGGAGCTAAGAACAGACCACTGGTTTGGTTGAATTGATGGTTAACTTTTTTGTTTACTAAGGAGCGGAAGGAATGTTTATTCTGATGAGATCTCACATGGAACCTCAGTGTATAAAATGGAGCCGCTGTGGGGGGCCCAGAGGCAGTGGGTGGGCCCCCTTGCCTCCTGGGTCCTGGGCTCCGAGGCGCCGCGTGGGCACATGGCCCTGAAGGAGCATTGGGAGCGGGGTGGAAACACGCTTCCTGTACCCCAGACCAGCCCCGGAAGAGGGGCCCTTTCACCCACCATCCTGGCCTGCTACGGAGGGGGGATGAGGTGGGGACTGGCCCCCCAGGAGGGTGGCTGCATCTTTGTCCACACCCATTGGCCCTTCTGAACCCCCCTCACGGCCGAGAAAAGCCCCCGAATCTGTAAAACCCTAACCAGGGGTATGAACTCTGGGGCAGCAGGGGGCAGATCCCTGCCCTCGGCCCCTCCTTCAAGCCTCGGATGGGCAGTCACTCCCTGGGGCAGCCTTCGGGGAGACACCCTCGGCCCAGGGTGGGGGGTGCTGAGTGCAGGCTGTGCTGTAGAGCCCCAGGTGGCCCTTCTCTCACTCACATTCCCCGAGATCTGGGAAGTTCTGTTTTCGTTGTGCTCCAACAGCTGGAACAAGCACGCTCCAGCTCTCAGGTGACCCCTGGAAACTGAGGGGCTGTGCCAAGCCTTCAGGGCCCGGGCTGGAGTGACAGCATTTATTTAATCTTTGTGCGGTTTCTCAAACCCGAA